CGCCACATCCTTGCCACCACTTGTTGTTTGTTGATTTATTGATGTTAGCCATTCTGACAGGTGGGAGCTGATATCTCATTGTGATTTTAATTTACATTTCTCTGACAATTAGTGATGTTGAGCATCTTTTCATATGTCTATTGGTCATCTGTATGTCCTCTTTGGAGAAGTGCCTATGCAGAACCTCTGCCCACTTTTTAATTGGATTATTGGGGGCTGGGGTTGGTTTGAGTTGTATAAGTTCTTTATAAATTTGGAGTATTAACACCTCATGGAATGTATCATTGGTGAATATTGTCTCCCATTCATAGGTTGTCTTTTTGTTTTGTTGATGGTTTCCTTTGCTGTGTAAACTTTTTAGTTTGATGTGGTCCCATTTATTTATAGTTTCCCTTGCCCAAGCAGATATGTCAGGAAAAAATATTGCTAAGAAAAATGTGAGAGATTTTACTGCCTCTGTTTTCTTCTAGGGTTTTTATCGTTCAAGTCTTACATTTAAGTCTTTAATTCATTTTGAGTTTATTCTTATATATGGTGTAAAAAGATAGTCTAGGCCCTGACCAGTATGGTTCAATTGGTTGGAGCATCATCCCGCACAATGAAAGGTTGTGGGTTCAATCTCCAAGTAGGGCACATGTCTGGGCAGCGAGTTTGATCCCTAGTCACAGGAACTTCTCAGGGCACATACTGGAGGAGGAGGGGATTGATCAATGTTCTTCATATCTTTCTCTCTCTCTCACTCTCTCAATAAGCATGTCCTCAGATGAGGATTTAAAAAAAGATGGTCTCGCCCTAACTGGTTTGGCTCAGGGGATAGAGCATCGGCTTGCAGACTCAAAGGTCCCAGGTTTGATTCTGGTCAAGGGCATGTACCTTGGTTGTGGGCACATACCTAGTAGGAGGTGTGCAGAAGGCAGCTGATCCATGTTTCTCTCTAATCGATGTTTCTAACTCTCTATCTCTCTCCTTTCCTCTCTGTAAAAAACTCAATAAAATATATTTTTTATAAAGATAGTCTAGTTTCATTTTTTGGTCATAAATTGTCCAATTTTCCAGACATTTATTGAATAGACTATTTTTACTTCCTTGTATGTTCTTGTCTCCTTTGTCATATATTAATTGACCATATCAGTGTGGGTTTGCTATTCTGTTCCGTTGATCTATATCTGTTTTTATGCCAATACTATGCTGTTTTGATCACTATAGTCCTGTAGTATAATTTGATATTAGGTAGTGTGATACCTCCAACTTTGTTCTTTCCCAAGATGGCTATCTTTTATGGTTTCATATAAATTTTGGGTTTTTTTGTTCTAGTTCTGAAAATCATCACATCTCTTGACAGTTCATACTGTGATTCAGTAGTTTTTGTATGGGATTTAGGATTCTGCATTTCTAATAATCTTCCAGATACTGCTGATGATGCTGGTCTATGGACAATACTTAGAGTAACCATATTTTATCTGTAGCCCAGTATCATTCTATTAAGTTTCTGCAAACATTTTTGAATGAAAGATCCTTTAATTTTCTCTGCATAAACCTTAGTGCAAAGTCTCTTAAAAATTACCCAGGGCCCTGGCCAGTTTGGCTCAGTGGATAGAGTGTCAGCTTGTAGACTGGGAGAGTCCCGGGTGTGATTCTGATCAAGGGTGCGTGCCTGGGTTGCAGGCTTGATCCCCAGTGCGAGGCATGCAGGAGGCAGTGGACTGGTGGTGATTCCCTCATCATTAATGTTTCTATCTCTCTCTCCCTCTCCGTTCCTCTCTGAAATCAATTAAAAAATAGATATAAAGAATGACACCAGTGTATGAAATTTCATACATCACAGGACATGGCTCCTTTAGTGTATGTGGGCAACAATTCCCCTAAACATTGTTGAGAATTATGTAATACTTATTGGGACCAGAGACTATAATTAATATTGTGCACAGAAACACAACAAAGGCCTCCTTTCTAGTGTGAATGTTGACCTCACCAATAATAGAGGCACCGGGCTGCAAATTAGAAATACAAAGTCATGCAGATAATTTTACAAGGCCTTGGGCAGAAGTTAAAAAGAAAAAGCCAAAATTGGACAAACTGATTTTCTGCTATTACTATGTGCTTTGAAAAGAACAATCTGGAGCTTGTTGCCCAATCTATTATCTTTCTGTTTGCCGGCTATGAGACCACTAGCAGTTCTCTTTCTTTCCTTATGTATTTGCTGGCCACTCACCCGGATGTGCAGCAGAAATTACATAAGGAGATTGATGAAACGTTTCCCAATAAGGTGAGTGGGTGACACTTGGAGAATGAGGGAGAAAGTAAAGCCTTATCAAGAATGCCTCCTCACCACTTCCTAGGAGAATTTTTACAAAGAATGTAAGCATCAATTATTTTACTTGTGCTATTTAGGAACGATGTAAAAAGACAAAAACAATCAAAGAATATAGATAATTTTTGTTATTAGAGATATATAAGATCTTTGAAAAAAGTGTTGGTCCTGTTGTGTCAGCAGTTATCTGTTACCACAAAAATGTCAAATGAAAAAAAAATTTAAAACCTCAGTGGCAATTAACAATAGGAATTTATTGCTCAAGTGTCTAGATAATTACCTGTGTTGCTATTGACTAGACTTGTTTTAGTCTGGCTCTTGGCTGATCTAGGCTGGCCTTGGCTAAGCGGCTGGGTGAATCAGCTCCACACAGGATCCACATATCTCCAGACAACTAGACTGGGTGTGTTCTTCTCAGGCAGTGACAGAGGGAATGACCAATAAGCCCAAATATATGGGGGCCTTTCAGAACTCTGCTTGCATCACACTTAACTAACATTCCATTGATTTAAAGCATGCACCATGGCCAACCCTAGGATCATAACAGGAGGGCACAAAGTTAGATGACTAAGGGCCTGGACACAGGAAGGTGTGGAAAACTGGCACTATTACTGGAATCTACCACCTTGGGTAAACTGTGCAATCTAGGAGAAGCCTGGTATACAGAAAAGAACATAGTGTAGGAAATAGAAGACATGAGTTTGAGTCCAGACTGTGGTTTTGGATAGGTCTTAAGAACTCTCCGTGTCATAGGTCCTTCAAATATAAAATAAAGATACATTTTAGGGTCCAAATAAATTAAAGATTATTTTTCTTCTTTGGGTAAGCCCATATTGGAGATCATTTTATTGCAATGAGATGGAAAGGTCACAAAGAAACAGACTAGCTAAAGCATATGTCCTCCCCTCTTAATAAGAGTAACAATGACAACAACAACACTAATAGCTAACATACACTTCTCACTATATTTGTCTGTTCTAAATGCCTTATATTTATAAATGAATTGAATTTTTAAAAATTATGTATTAAAAATAGAAACAGACTCATAGATAGAGAACAGGCTATCAGAGGGGAAGGAGGCTTTGAGAGGCTGGGTGAAAAAGGTGAAGAGGTTAAGCAAAAAAAACCTAATTCACACAGCCCTAGCCACTTTGACTCAGTGGATAGAGCTTCGGCCCTCAGACTAAAGGGTTCTGAGTTTGATTCCTGTCAAGGGCCCATACCTTGATTGCAGGCTGGACCATTGCCATGATGTGGAAGCAACCAATCCATGTGTCTCTCTCACATTGATGTTTCTCTGTGTGTGTCTTTCCCCCTCCCTTCCACTCTCTCCAAAAATCAATGGAAAAATATCTTCGGGTGAGGATTAACTAAAAACAAGAAACTCATAGACACAGACAATAGCATGATGATTGCCAGAGGACAATAGGCGTTGGCAGAAGTAGAAGAGAGTATCGGGGGAGGGGGAGAAATAAATGGTGATGAAAGGAGACTTGACTTGGGGTAGTGATCATACAATACAATATACAGATGGAATATTATAGTATTGTAACTGAACCTATATAATTTTATTAACCAATGTCACCCCAATAAATTCAATTTAAAAAAGTGATACATTAGTCAGAATAGGCTAAATTTGCCAGAACTACAGATTAGCCCTCTATTCTCAGTGGATTTACATTGCAAATGATTATTTCCAACTCACATTTACATGTCCAACATCGATTGTTAATAAAGGATGGGAGTGGGACTTTGTTCTCCATAGTTACTGGGAAATATAAGCTAAAAAGGACCCATTTTCTTTTAGCGGCACTTTCTGGAGCACAAGGCCTTCATGTTGGGCAAATGATTTTCCAACTCACATTTACATGTCCAACATCGATTGTTAATAAAGGATGGGAGTGGGACTTTGTTCTCCATAGTTACTGGGAAATATAAGCTAAAAAGGACCCATTTTCTTTTAGCGGCACTTTCTGGAGCACAAGGCCTTCATGTTGGTTGGGGAATAAAGAAGTAGAGTGTTGCTCACTGGATTTTCAAGTGTTTTGACTCTGAGCTGACATATGTCACCTCAGCTCGGAGCCCATTCTCAAAGCTGGTTCCCCCTAGCTTTAAGTGGACTGGGAGATGTGGAGACTACATGGATATTGTGAGATCAAACAACCCTATGAAGTGTAAACTCTAAATATCTCCATGCAACATATCAGAAAACTGAGAGGTGAAATAATTTTCATACACTAGTCATATAGCTAGTGGTGAAGAAGCCTTAACCTCTACAGTATTGCCTCTTCAGTATAACACCAAGTGATACCCCCATATTGCCCACACTGTTTTCAGATATCTGACAAAACTGGAACTCTTTGTGGTAGGAAGAGACTGGCCTCTGGGGCTGGAGAGGCTTGTATGAGATCTTCACAGCTTACAGTCAAACCCTGAACAACAACTAGGAGACTGTTCCAGCAAGGCAGCATGAGGCTGAGTGGGGTTCCACCTCTATAACTTCTGCTAGAATGAAATTGTGTGCCCTGCTTTCATTCTTTTCAGTCATGCCCTTCTTTTGCTATACTTACAGAGTTTTTTTATTTATAGAGTTTCTATTTATATGGTGTTTCTCTCCAAATTATATAGATAATCCAAAGGCTTAGTAAGCAGGAATTTTCAACTAAACACTGTCAAGTTGGAATTTTGCTCTTTTACACACTCTCTTTCCTTTGTACAGAGGTGTGGCGTCTCTTTTGAAAACAGTGACCTTACCATATTTCAGTTAAGAATATGGGTCATAGTCTATTACTCACATGAGATTTTAAAAAAAATCACTACACGGTAATGTGAGGGATTTGGGGTCCTGTTTAAGGAGTTGTCCCCAACGTCCCCCCATAGTCATAACTACTCCACACATCTCAATGGGCCATTAAGCAGGCCAACAGACACGACAGATATTAAAATGTCTATAAATCCTAAAGTCCTTTACCCAAATAAGTTATTCTTTGGAGCGCCTAACATTTCTATAGAACTACATAGACTGAATTGAAAGTTGATCTCAAATCTCAGTTTATCAAAATCTGTTTCTTTCTTCCCAGGCAACTCCCACCTATGATGCCCTGGCACAGATGGAGTATCTTGACATGGTGATGAATGAATCCCTCAGACTATTCCCAATTGCTGGTAGACTTGAGAGGTTCTGTAAGAAGGATGTGGAAGTCAATGGGGTGTTCATTCCCAAAGGAACACTCGTGATGGTGCCAAGCTTTGTTCTTCACCTAGACCCGACGCACTGGCCAGAGCCAGAGGAGTTCCGTCCTGAAAGGTACTGGACCCCTGGGAAAGGGAACCCACCCTCATCCAGGCTGATTGGACATAATCTGATGTCTTTTAGTATAGATGATGTACATGTGGTTGTACAATCATTTATTGTACATTTTTCTGTTTTTACCAGTTTGTTTTT